AGCCACATACAAGCTTTCTGTTCATTTATTTTCTAAGGTAGATACCATTTTTTTTTTCACAATTACTAAAAGTCAGGCAAATTACTAGTATTTTACATCATCATAACTCATTCATCCCTCACAAAAATCTTACAAATTTAGTAATGAAATTAAAATCCCCTGGGAGTCGGAAACATCCCATTTGTGAGAAATACACTTTTCAATTTATGCCAACCAAAAGCAGAATAAAATTTTAAATTATGAATTTTTAAGATGAGGAAAGTTAGCAATGCTAACTAATATGTCCAAGTTTGTGCAGTTATAAGGAATCTGATTCATGATCACTTTTTTCCATTGCCTCCACAGATGAAAAAGGTGTTCCTAGCCCTGCAGTTTTTCTTACAGAACTCAGTTCCTTAACCACATATCAATACATTTTAATTGTGGCCGGGTAAGGTGGCTTCACACCTGTAATTCCAGGACTTTTTGGAGGGCGAGGCGGGCGAGATCACCTGAGCCAAGGAGTTTGAGAACAGCCTGACCATTCAGTGTCAGAAACCCCCGTCTCTACTAAAAATACAAAAATATAGCCAGGTGTTGTAGTGGCAGGCGCCTGATTAATTAATTCCAGCTTCGAGAGACTTGAGACAGGAGGAATTGCTTGAACCCAGGAGGGGTAGGTTGCAGGTGGGGGCTGAAATCATTTGCACTGCCTTAGCTTGGGCTGACAGAGTGAGACTCATAGGTCTATTCTCAAAGAAAAAAAAAAAAAAAATTCAATTACCATATAGTATATGGCTTATGCCTTTTCCAAAAGTTGGAATTGGATTTTTTGATTTATGGATTAGAATCCCTTAATAAGGGAGGATTTTTGGGATATTTGCCCATTTGAACAGTAGATTTTTTTAAAAATTTCTTCAGGCAATTTTATGTTAATAATTTTATTATTCATTAATATTATAAACAAATTTTTTTTCCTAAAACAAATTTTCTTCTTGTAACTTATTTGCTCTTTTTATTCCTTATTGGAAGGGACAAAAAATATTTTACATAATATTTCCTTTTATCAAGGTATTTTTCCTCATAGTTTGCAGCTTTGTGAAAACTCAGCACATTGCCAACCAAAGTGATCCCCAATTCTCATACTGAGTCATAACAGGAAAAATATTATTATTACTCCAGGCGTGTTACTGTAACTGGATGAAACAATGGAAATATAAGAAACGTAATCCATCTTAAAAGAAGCTTAAACAATATTATCCAGTTACTCGGTGAGGCTGAGGCAGGAGAATGGGGTGAACCTGGGAGCAGAGCTGCAGTGAGCCGAGATCATGCCACTGTTACTCTCAGGCCTGGGTGACCAGAGCGAGGATCTGTCTCAAAAAAAAAAAAAAAAAAAAAAAAAATTATATACAAACATGAGTAGTAGCTTGTATTTGATAAATGCTAATGAGGAGTCCAGAAAATTAAATCTTTGGGAATTTAGAGTCGGGAAGATCTTAGTAGGCGGAGGCAACTGACAAGAGCTTTGAAAAGGCAGTGGGATAATCAGGAGAGACAGCTCCGGAAAGGCATTCCAGAAAAGGAAGATGAGAGCAGAGGCAGAGTTTAATTTGAGTAAATGTGCATGAAATAGAGTGCTCCACTGTGCCAGAAGTAGAGGATTTGCGTGGGGGTAGAGTAGGAGATAAGGGCCCTTGATGATTCAACATTTACAACTCTTACACTTTAAACATTAATTTTTCTATCAAATGCCTCCAGGTCGCACTCTACTAAACTCCTTGAAGGGTGGGGACCTTTATCTTATCAACCTTGATACCTTCAGTGCTTAACACAGTACGTTCAGTTCCTGGTACAGAAAAGGCATTCTGTAAGTATTTGTTGAATGAATGAATGAATGTATCTCAGATAGAGTAAGTGAATTTCTCAAGGTCAAACAACACTAGGTGATAGTGTTATGACTGTAATCAACCATTTGTTTTGTTTTATTTTGAGACAGAGTCTCGCTCTATCATTCAGGCTGGAAGTGCAGTGGCGTGATCTTGGCTCACTGCAACCTCCGCCTCCCACGTTCAAGAGATTCTCCTGCCTCAGCCTCCAGAGTAGCTGGGACTACAGGCACACGCCACCACACCCAGCTGATTTTTGTATTTTTAGTAGAAACGGGTTTTCACCATACTCCTGACCTCATGATCTGCCTGCCTCAACCTCCCAAAGTGCTGGGATTACAGGCGTGAGCCACTGTGCTGGGCCTCAACCATTTGTTTTTACTCTCTTCAGACATGAATGATGAAACGTTACAGAATCCTTATTTCTTCATTCTCCTTTGCTTTTTGGAAATTTTCTCGGGTGAACCTTACCTTCTACAGAGTAACAGAACCAGTAGGATGTATATGTACATAGAAACACATTTATGAGCAGGAATTGGTTCACATGATTATGGCAGCTGAGAAGTCCCAGCATCTGTAGGGTGAGTCAGCAGCTACAGACCCAGGAGAGCAGGTGGGGTAGGTCCAGGCAGAGTTTGAAGGCCTGAAAACCAGGAAGCCAATGAAGTCAAGGAAAAAGCCAGCGTCTCACATGAAGGCAGTCAGAAAGATTTCTTTTCTTTTCTTTTCCTTTCTTTTTCTTCTCTCTCTCTCTCTCTCTCTCCCTCGCCTCTCTCCCTCTCCTCTCTCTCGCCTCTCGTACTGTATTAAGCACTGACTCGCTTTGTCACCCAGGCTGGAGTGCAGTTGCCTGATCTCACTGCAACCTCTGCCTCCCGGGTTCAAGCAATTCTCCTGCCTCAGACTCCCTAGTAGCTGGGATTACAGGCATGTGCCACCACCCCTGGCTAATTTTGTATTTTTAGTAGAGACAGGGTTTCACCATGTTGGCCAGGCTGGTCTTGAAATACTGACCTTAGGTCATTGCATTTAATAAATATGGCATTCCACTACTACTTCTTTGATTCTATCAGACAGTCTTCAAATATTGAGTTGTGATACTCCTGCATCGCAGAAACCATTCATTTACATTTCTGTTTTCTTTTTTTTTTGAGGCAGGGTCTCTCTCTGTCGCCCAGGCTGGAGTGCAGTGGTGTGATCTTGACTCACTGCAGCCTCGACCTCCCAGGTGCAAGCAATCCTCTCATCTCAGCCTGCTCAATAGCGGGAACTACAGACACGCACCATCATGCCTGTCTAATTTTTGTATTTTTTTTTTTTTGTAGAGGAGGGGTTTCGCCATGTTGGCCAGGCTGGTCTTAAACTCCTGGGTTCAAATGATCTGCATGCCTTGGCCTCCCAAAGTGTTGGGATTACAGGCATGAGCCACCACTCCCGGCCTCATTTACATTTCTAATTTCAATTCCTAGTATAGTTCCTGGTATGTAGTAAGCATGTGATAAAAATTTTAAGAATACTTATTATTGTTGTCTCTGAGAAAAACATAATTTATGGTATCTGAATTCTGTAGCCCTGTAAGAAAATCTGTATATTAAAAATATACAAAGTTTAAGAACAACTATGTTTTATTTATGCACAAATGTTTATTTGATTTGAAATGAAACTTTGGAGAAGTTATAATAGCAAAGGTCTTCTTTTCCTTCATGTTTCTTAATTATGTTGCCTTATTAACCTTTCATTCTAAAATAGTTTCTATGAACAACTAAACAAGACATGATAGTTGACTCAATCAATAAAATATGTAGCATGTTTGCATCAGGACATATTTAAATCTCAGTGGCACAAATATAATATTACGTTACACTAAATAATACTTTATATTTTGCAAATTATTTTATTATCACATTTGATCTGTATAACAATCTTATAGATGTCACTATCCCCATTTTACAGGTGAGGAAACTGAGGAATGAGAAATGCAAACCAGTATGCCAGTCACCAAGTGTCAGATTAATTACTGAGCTAGAGGCCAAACGAGGTGGCTCAAGCCTATACTCGTAGCACTTTGGGAGGCCGAGGCAGGCGGATCGCTTGAGCTCAAGAGTTCGAGACCAGCTTGGGCAAGAAAAAGAAAAATTAGCAGGGTGTGGTGGCACATGCCTGTAGTCCCAGCTACTTGGGAGGCTGAGGTGAGAGGCTCACTTGAGCCCAAGAGGTTGAAGCTGCAATGAGCTGTGGTTCTACCACTGCACTCCAACCTGGGTGACAGAGTAAGACCCTGTCTCAAGGTGACGAAATAATTAGAATTATCCCAAACCTACTATCCCGAATGGTATAGTTATTTTGTATCATTGTATAATTTCCTCCTGCTACTTACTCCTTCAGGTTCTAAGGGAGAGTAAGTTCCAGTTGGTTTCCAAAAGCCCCAGCTTAAATGGCTTCCTGGCAATTTTGATATTAAAGACTGTCTTTTTAAGCCGGCCAGAGCAGCTGGCAAAAAGAGAAAAAAAAAGATTATGTCGGCTGGGCGAGGTGGCTCACGCCTGTAATCCCAGCACTTTAGGAGGCTGAGGCGGGCGGATTACGAGGTCAGGAGATCGCGACCATCCTGGCTAACACAGTGAAACCCCGTCTCTACTAAAGAATACAAAGAAGTAGCTGGGCGTAGTGGCGATCCCAGCTACTCAGGAGGCTGAGGCAGGAGAATGGCGTGAACCCAGGAGGCAGAGGTTGCAGTGAGCCGAGATCACGCCACTGCACTCCAGCCTGGGCGACAGAGCGAGACTCTGTCTCAAAAAAACAAAACAAAACAAAAAAGACTGTATCTTTTCTTCTTTTTTCTCTCTGTCTCTCCTTTAGTACCTAGAACATATGCAGAAGGTGCTTAGTATACTCGTGAGCAATGAATACATAAATAAAGTGAGTTTAGAAGAGACTTAGGAAAGTCTGGGTAGTGGAATGGGAATGTTCTTCTTTGTTAGAAGATAATAGATACCTCAGCACTGGGACATCAGCAGTGACAATCCTGCGTCACAATTGGTGAGAAGCAGCAGGAAATAAGGGGGAATGGAGGCGGAGGCAGGCACAGAGGCAGTTCAAGGAAATGAAGGCAAACTGTGGTCATGAGACCAAAGACAAGGAGAGCTGGGGAAGGGAATGATGTCATCAGAACAACAATAGAGGAAGATGGTTTTGGCAGCAGCTTTTGAATAGACTTTGAAGAAAAAAATCAGAGAGAGGGGAAAAAGGAAACGGGAAAGGGAAGTCTGTTGAGAACTCAGCATGACATTTGGAGTGGGTGGAGAACTTCCTGTATAGCTTGATGTTTGGAACATCTGGTCACCTCTTACAATAACAAAACCTTAGAAACTTCAGCTTTCTCAAGTGGCCAGGTTAGAATGAGTGTGAATTCCATGGCCAAACCATCATTGCCGGAAGACGGGAATATCTAAAGAAAGAAAAATTCAGATGGAAACTGACTCAACACTGAGAACACCCCCACTAGTTCTTCGATGTAAGTATTCATATTTGTAAATGTATATATGCTTTATTTTTGGAATACAGTATTAGCTTTGTATTAAATTTAAAGCGTTAAGTCTACTTCAATTATCTCAAAGGGCGAAAGGTAACCAACAGATTTACAAAGAAAGCAATTGTTTTCAAAGCTTATGATTTTCTTTTTTTTTTTTTTTTTTTTTGAGATGGAGTGCCTCGCTCTGTCGCCCAGGCTGGAGTGCAGTGGCTGGATCTCAGCTCACTGCAAGCTCTGCCTCCCGGGTTTACGCCATTCTCCTGCCTCAGCCTCCCGAGTAGCTGGGACTACAGGCACCCGCCACGTCGCCGGCCTAGTTTTTTGTATTTTTAGTAGAGACGGGGTTTCACCATATTAGCCAGGATGGTCTCGATCTCCTGACCTTGTGATCCGCCTGTCTCGGCCTCCCAAATGCTGGGATTACAGGCTTGAGCCACCGCGCCCGGCCCAAACGCTTATGATTTTCACAACCCATTTGTGGCATTATTTTTGCTGGAGTCCATACCTTGTTTCATTTCAATACTGGCCAAAATTTTCCACAACTCAATTGTGCCCTCTAGTGTTTATTAGCATTTAGTGATGGCCACTTTGGAGGTTTTTGGAGGTTTTTTTTTTTTTTTGAGACAGAGTCTTGCTGTGTCGCCCAGGCTGGAGTACAGTGGCGTGATCTCAGCTCACTGCAACCTCTGCCTCCCGGGTTCAAGCCATTCTCCTGCCTCAGCCTCCTGGAGTAGCTGGGATTACAGGCGTGCACCACCACAACCAGCTAATTTTTGTATTTTAGTAGAGATGGGTATCACCATGTTGGTCAGGCTGGTGTCGAACTCCTGACCTCATGATCCACCCGCCTGGGCCCTCCCAAAGTCCTGGGATTACAAGCGTGAGCCCCGCACACCGGCCTACTTGGAGTTTTAAAAAGTGATCCCACAAGAACCAGACTCTTCTAATGGGCAGGGAAGCTAATAATGATTCCCACATTGTCATCTTCAGGTTACTTACCATAGCAATCAATCTCAGTGCCTTAAAAAAATGAAGTTTTTTCTCACAGAAGGTTTAATGCGGGTTGGCTGGGCTTCTCTGCAAGCAATGTCTTGGAGATCGAGGCTTCCTGCATTTGGCGATCCCTAGCACCTCCTCACCTGCATAGACAGGGTAAGAAAAGCATGGAGGAGGCACACTTGATTTTAACTGCTTCGGCCTGGAACTGACACATGTCACCCTGCTATTTCCTATTGACTAGAACTCATAACCTGGCCCCAGCCCAGTGGTAAGGGAGCCCAGGGGAGCGTGGAGAAGCCTGTGAATTTGTTCTTGGAGCACTAAATGCCTCTGTAAAGCTTCCGCCAGAGCAGCTAGGAAACAAGCATAATGGATATTCTAGCTTATTATTTTGGAAAATAGTTTTATTCGAGATTTTCCAAAACAAAGTATTACATCAGAAAGAAAGAATAACAATGGTAATTTTTTTTTTTTTTTTTGGGCGATAGGGTCTCGATCGTCACCCAGGCTGGAGTGCAATGGCATGATCTCAGCTCACTGCAACTTCTGTCTCCTGGGTCAAGCGATTCTCCTGCCTCAGTCTCCGAATAGCTGGATTACAGGTTGTGCCACCGCACCTGCTAATTTTGTATTTTTAGTAGGAGCAGGGTTTCACCATGTTGGCCAGGCTGGTCTTGAACTTCTGACCTCAAGTGATCCGCCCACCTCGGCCTCCCAAAGTGTTGGGATTACAGGCATGAGCCACTGTGCCTGGCCTAATTTTTGCATTTTTAGTGGAGATGGGTTTCACCATGCTGGCCAGGATGGTTTCAAACTTCTGACTTCAACTGATCCGCACACCTCAGCCTCCCAAAGTGCTGGGATTATAGGCGTGAACCACCACACCCAGTCAGATTTACTTTCCAACCTGACTCTGGCATAACATTAGGAGACAAATAAAGAAAGCAAAATATTTTACCCCAAAACAAGTTTATTTGCTATATTTTGAAATGACTCTGCAAAGCTATTTTTTTGTGGGGGAAAGTTTGCATCTGTAAAGGATCTCTACTAACTTAGCTGGATCTTTTTCTTCCAGACCCTCCCAATCCTAAAGAGATTATCTAAAATCTGAATAGGAAACATTTGTCATCCTATTATCTCCAAGGGCAGCCACTATAAGACTTCAAAAGAACTTTGGTCTCCACAATCTTCTTTTTTTCTGAGATGGAGTCTTGCTCTGTAGCCCAGGCTGCAGTGTGGTGGCCCAATCTCGGCTCACTGCAAGCTCCACCTCCCGGGTTCACGCCATTCTCCTGCCTCAGCCTCCTGGTAGCTGGGACTACAGGCGCCCGCCACCACACCCGACTAATTTTTTTGTATTTTTAGTAGAGACGGGGTTTCACCATGTTAGACAGGATGGTCTCGATCTCCTGACCTCGTGATTTGCCCATCTTGGCCTCCCAATGTGCTGGGATTACAGGGGTGAACCACTGCGCCCGGCTCACAATCTTTATCTTAACCTGAACATTTCTTTTCTATCAATCCCAGGCCTTTTTTTTTTTTGTGACAGAGTCTAGCTCTGTCACCCAGGCTGGAGTGCAGTGGCATGATCTCAGCTCACTGTAACCTCCATCTCCCGGGCTCAAGTGATTCTCCTGCCTCAGCCTCCCGAGTAGCTGGGATTACAGGCGCCCGCCACCATGCCCAGCTAATTTTTGTATTTTTAGTAGAGACGGGGTTTCACTGTGTTGGTCAGCTTGGTCTCGAACTCCTGACCTCAGGTGATCCACCCACCTCGGCCTCTCAAAGTGCTGGGATTACAGGCATAAGCCACTGTGCCCAGGCCCATCCCAGGTCTTCAGACAAAGTCAACTCATTGTCAACCAGAAAATGTTCAAATTCACCTATAGCCTGGAAAGCCCAGCTTCGTGTTGTCCCACCTTTCTGGACCAATCCCATGTATTTCTTAAATGTATTTGATTGATGTCTCATGCCTCTCTAAAATGTATAAAACCAAGCTGCACCCCGACCACCTTGGGCACATGTTCTCAGGACCTCCTGAGGGCTGTCTCATGGGCCAGAGCCACTCATATTTGGCTCAGAATAAATCTTTTCAAATATTTTAGAGTGTGATTCTGTTGACAATATGGAGGTGCTGTAGGATGTTAGGCACATTATTACCAGCTTCGCTCTGTTTTTGAAAGTTTTTATTATAATTCTATTGCTAATAGTATGGTTTACCTCCATATAATAATACAGCAGTCCCTCCTTATCTGTTCAGAATACATTCTGAGATCCCCAGTGGATGCCTGAAATCGCTATAGTACCAAACTCTATAGATACTGGGTTTTTTGGTAGATATAGACACAGGCATATCCCTATGATAAAAGTTAATTTATAAATGAGGCACAGAAGAGATCAACAACAATAACTAATGATAAATAGAACAATTATAACAATATGCCAGCATTCCTACCCTTGTGCTTTGAGGCCATCATTAAGTCAAATAAAGCTTAAGTGAGGGAAGTGACTCCCGTAAGGGCGCAAAGCAGCGTGGCCGGGGTCCGAGCTGGGGTTCTGTCCCCGCTGGACTGGCACCCCAGCTGGACTGGCACCCCAGCTGGACTACCCCCATGGAACTCAGCGCCAATTACCTCCGGGAGAAGCTGCAGCGGACCCAGAGGTGGAGCACGTGGAGGTGGAGGACACGACCTTCAACCGTTGCGCCTGTAGCTTCCTGGTGGTGTCAGCCAAGTTCGAGGGGAAGCCGCTGCTTCAGAGGCACCGGCTGGTGAATGCGTGCCTAGCAGAAGAACTCTCGCACACCCATGCCTTTGAACAGAAAACCCTGACCCCAGAGCAGTGGGCCCATGAGCAGCAGAAATGAGGGACTGGATCCTGCACAGTCATTAAATTATAAATCTGGACCAAAAAAAAACCCCCAAAAAACTTCAGATGAGCACACACACTTCAATACCATGACAGTTGATCTGATAACTGGGCCAGCTACTAAGTGATTGATGGGCAGGTAGTGTAGACGGCATGGAGACACTGGACAAAGGGATGATTCACAACCAGCCCCAAGCAGGATGAAACAGGACAGCAAGAGATTTCATCACGGTTATCAGAACAGCGCGGGAAACTTAGGAGTTGTTTATTTCTGGAACTTTTCTTTTTTCTTTTTTTTGAGATGGAGTCTCACTCTGTTGCCCAGGCTGGAGTGCAATGGTGTGATCTTGGCTCACTGCAACCTCTGCCTCCTGGGTTCAAGCGATTCTCTTGCCTTAGCCTCCCGAGCAGTTGGTATTACAGGCACCTGCTACCACACCCAGGTATTTTTTGTATTTTTTGTAGAGATGGGGTTTCACCATGTTGGCCAGGCTGGTCTTAAACTCCTGATCTCAGGTGATCCGCCCACCTCAGCCTCCCAAAGTGCTGGGATCACAGGCATGAGCCACAGGCCAGAAGGCTGTATATTGTATTTATATGACATTCTGGAAAAGATAAAACTATAGCTATTAGGCACTGTTCTAAGAGACACAGACAATACATGATGATGCTAGTCTTTGAAATAGAAAACAGGAGAAAAAGCAGGATAGCAAAGGGGGAAATGATTACTTCAGTGTTGGGTATGTCGGGTTTGAGATGTCTTGAGGGAAAGCCAGTGGAAGTGTGAATGGGAGGCAGAACTCAGGAGCACTGCCAGGGCTGGAGATAGATTTGGGAATCAATAACATGTAGGTAAGAGTGGAAGCTGTGGAACAAATGAGATTCCGGAGAGAGAGGGAATGCAGAGTGTCCACTTAGTCCAGCTCCAGCCCTGAGCTGAGCCAAAGGGATGAGCAGTAATTAGCTAGGAAAGAAGGCGGAAGAGGTCATTTCAGGCAGAGGAAATAGTGATGGCAAAGAAACCTGCAGGTCCCTGGGGCCAACTGAAGAAGCACAGGATTTGTACATTTAGAAAGGAGGGCTGGGCGTGGTGGCTCACACCTTTAATCCCAGCACTTTGGGAGGCTGAGGTGGGACGATGGCTTGCGCCCAGGATTTTGAGGTCAGCCTAAGCAAAACAGAAAGACCCCCATTTCTACAAAAAATAAAATAAAAATAGCTGGGTGGCGTGTGCCTGTAGTCCCAGCTACTCAGGAGGCTGAGGTAGGAGGATTGATTGCTTGAACCCAAGATTTCAAAGCCGCAGTAAATTATGATTGCACTGCACTACAGCCTGGGTGACAGAGCAAGATCCTATTTTAAAAAACAAACAAACAAACAAACAAAAACGCCGGGCATAGTGGCTCACGCCTGTAAATCCCAGCACTTTGGGAGGCTGAGGCAGGCGGATCACGAGGTCAGGAGATCGAGACCATCCTGGCTAACATGGTGAAACCCTGTCTCTACTAAAAATACAAAAAAAATTAGCTGGGCGTGGTGGCGGGCACCTGTAGTTCCAGGTACTCAGGAGGCTGAGGCAGGAGAATGGCGTGAACCTGGGAGGTGGAGCTTGCAGTGAGCCGAGATTGCACCACTGCAGTCCAGCCTGGGCGACAGAGTGAGACTCTGTCTCACAAAAAAAAATTTAGAAGAGCCTTTTTTTTTTTTTTAAATAAAAGATTACAGCCTGCAAGGTGGCCGTTCTGACAGGTTGGGAAGTGTAGCCTCCAGGAGAGGCTGAAAGACAGGCTCTTCAAGGGAGACAGGAATTATGCTGAGGGGGTTGGCCAAACATACATATTCAACAGGTTACAGGAGGAGCTATGAATGTTCATGAAGGGGGTCCTGAAGCATGTGTGATAAGCAGACGTGCATGTTACATGTGACCCATGTTCACTTTGGAGCGGAGACTTAACATTTAAATATATTACAATTAGGGCCTATATATCAAAAGGTGAAGCAGGGACATGAAGCCTGTCAAGTGCACAGCTTCTGTAAACTGGCCAGAACCAGTCCACAGTTGGTGGCCCCTTACCAGGAGAAAGTTACAGAACTCAGTCTCTGGTCCAGTTAAAGCTGCAGTGATGGCTGGTGGAACGGGGAGTCAGTCTAAGTGTCTGATGGTGGCTGAGCTGCAACTGCTTCAGCATTGCTCATCTCAAGGCCAGTGCTTGTTTAGTTGCTAGAGAAAAAGAAAACCCTGATGGCAATGAGAACATAATTTATTCTTTAATTCTAGGGAGTACATGATTTACTCCTTGCCTGGCATGGCCTTAGGTCCTGTTTATAATGTGCTATCTTATTGCCACAAAAAGTCCATTGTGTCAGGATTATGAGCTCCATTTTAACATCAATGCTGGTCAGATTTTGTGCCTAAACTGCAAAAGGGAAGGGATATAATGAGGTGTGCCTGCCCTCCCATTCTGTCATGGCTAGGAACTCAGTTTTTTAGGTTTCTCACCGGGCATGGTGGCTCCCGCCTGTAATCCCAGCACTTTGGGAGGCCGAAGTGGGTGGATCACCTGAGGTTGGGAGTTTGAGTAAAGACGAGGTAAAACCTCGTCTTTACTAAAAACACAAAATTAGCCAGGTGTGGTGGCACATGCCTGTAATCCCAGCTACTCTGGAGGCTAAGGCAGGAGAATCACTTGAACCTGGGAGGTAGAATTTGCAGTAAGCTGAGATCACGCCATTGTACTCCAGCCTGGGCAACAAGAGTGAAACTTCATCTCGAAAAAAAGAAAAAAAGGTTTCTCTGGGGTTTCCTTGGCTAAGAGCAGGTTCGTTTAGTCAGTTGAGGGGCTTAGAATTTTTAGTTTACACTGGCAACTATTATTCTACTTCTGTCTCTGTGAATTTGACTATTCCAGTACCTCATATGAGTGGAATCATACAGAATTTATTGTCAGTGTCTGGCTTATTCAGATCAGTGGTTCTTTTTTTTTTTCCTGAGTCAAGGTCTGGTTCTGTTGCCCATGATGAAGTCCAGTGGTGCAATCTTGGCTCACTGCAACCTCTGCCTCCCAGCTCAAGTGATCCTTCCACCTCAGCTTTCTGAGTAGCTGAGACTACAGGCACACGCCACCACACCGGCTAATTTTTGCAGAGATGGAGTTGCGTCATGTTGCCCAAACTGGCCTCGAACTCCTGAGCTCAAGCGATCTGCCTGCCTTGGCCTCCCAAAGTGCTGGGATTACAGGCATGAGCCACCACACCCGGCCTCCACAAGTGATTTTGCTACTCAATCAGGCTTAAGAACCATTGATCTGAGGTTGGGCACAGTGGCTTATGCCTGTAATCATAGCACTTTGGGAGGCCAAGGTGGGCAGATCACTTGAGCTCAGGAGTTTGAGATCAGCCTGGCCAACATGGTGAAACCTGTCTCCACCAAAAATACAAAAATTAGCCAGGCATCATGGCGCACGCCTGTAATCCCAGCTACTCGAGAGGCTGAGGCAGGAGAATCACCTGAAGCTGAGGTTGCAGTGAGCCAAGATTGTGGCACTGCACTCCAGCCTGGGTGACAGAGCAAGACTCTGTCTCAAAAAAAAAACAAAAACAAAAACAAAAAAAACACTTTTGGAGCTTTGAAAACCTGCGAATGCCTGGGCTATGCAGCTAGCAATTCTGACCTACGTGGTCTGAGGAAGGCATCAAACATCTGCATCAGAAACAGCAAGTGAGAATGCCTGTTGTAGAAGTACAAGATGGGAGGGGAGTAGCATCTTGTGAGCTGCAGGAGGAGAGGCTGAGACGGAGGGAAATAGCAGTGACAAAGCACCTCTGAGGTTTGGAAGGACGAGGACCAGGGACAGCCACTTGGTCTGGCAAACAAGGTTTTATCAGAACCCTCAATACAGCAATAGAAGAACGAGGGACGAATCATTGGTGAGCAAGTCCTCTAAACTCTGGAGAAATTGGAAGCAAAATTACGGGTAGAATGGGAAGGTTTAAAGGATGGATGGAGATACGGTTAAACAATTAGGTAGAAGGGATGGAAATAGAGGGACTTGATGTCTGAGAACTTCTATTTTCTTTTTCTTTTTTTTTTTTTTTTTGAGATGGAGTCTTGCTCTGTTGCCCAGGCTGCAGTGCAGTGGCGCAATCTCAGCTCACTGCAACCTCCACCTCCCGGGTTCACGCCATTCTCCTGCCTCAGCCTCCCTTTCCTGAGTCAAGGTCTGGTTCTGTTGCCCAGGCTGCAGTGCAGTGGCGCAATCTCAGCTCACTGCAACCTCCACCTCCCGGGTTCAAGCGATTCTCCTGCCTCAGCCTCCCGAGTAGCTGGGATTACAGGTGGGTATCACTGTGCCCAGCTAATTTTTGTATTTTTAGTGGAGATGGGGTTTCACCATATTGGCTGCGCTGGTCTCAAACTCCTGACCTCAGGTTATTCACCTGCCTCAGCCTCCCAAAATGCTGGGATTATAGGCATGAGCCACTGAGCCCAGCCAAAAGAGCTTCTATTTTCTAAGTGGCACTTTGGGCACAGTCACCAGAGCCCCATGGCACTGGTGACCAAGAACATAGGTTTTACAGCCAGATGATCTAGGCTCACATTCTCAGTCCTTCAATCTCTGTTCTTCTGATTCTCATCTGTAAAGTGGGGATTTTTTTTCTGCCCTGTAGGACTGTTGCGAAGGTTAAAGGAGTTAATCCCTATGATGTTTTTGGAACAATATCTGGCATGCAGTGAGGACTCAGTTTTGTGTTAACAGTGATAGAGGCAAGGAGTGGGTTGGATGGCCAGGTCATCTCTGTGAGGCATGGAAAAAGGAACCCACTAGAGCTGCAAAGCGGTGTTCATAGTGTCAGCGGCCCAGCTAAAGCTGGAAACCATTAATTTTGTAACATAACCAACTAGTGACTATTTTATTTTCTTGGCAGAACTCAGCAGCAGGAAGAAGCCAAGGCAAGGCATTAGCCAGGGAGGTGGGGCAGAAGGGCCAGGGGCTGGAGAATTTCAAGTGCTCCCATGACTGTGGCCACATGATTCAAC